ACCACCTCCTAAGGGACCTGATTACATTTCTGAAAGGAGATTTTTGAGATTGCAGATGTTTGACTTTTCAATTAAATGTCCATATGTCCTGTGGAAAGTGGATATTTTCATGAAAAATATTGTTTAGTTGAAAACCCAATTTTCCATCAAAAACCAGAACCAGGGGCTAAGTAGAGCTGAGATAGGAAAAGGGGAAGGACTAGGAGAAGATGAGGCAGAAGGGTCTTGAACACTTCACACACTGCCCTCCAGACTCTGAAACTTGATGGAAAGTTTCTGACAGCCACACCTGGGTCTGATCTGAATGGGTGCTGTGCACCGACTCTCCACCTGAAGTCCTGCGAGCTGGGGGTTTTCAATGTTTTAAAAAGTACACTTCGTTTGTCTCAAATTAACACTGGAAATTTTTGTTCTGGATTTCACCCAGCTGATCAAAGGCAGAGAATGGTAGACAGAGAGTCCAAGAACCTTGCCTCCTCCCATGTGCTTCCAATACCACCTCCCATGTGCTTTTTGTTTTAACAAGTGTCTCCTTTCTGAAGACACCAGAGCTCTCTGTGGTGCAAAAGGAAGCGGCGTATCAGGGAGCTGATGAGAATTCCCTGATTCTGAGAGCCAGGCCCAGTCTGAATGCCACTTAAAGGCCACTGCCAGGCTTAGGGTGTCCATACCGGACCACCCTGTTTTTAAATCCTTTGTCCCCTGTCTATTTCTAAATGAGGAACAGACTGCAAAAAGTCCTTTTTTTCAGTTTATTGGTGGAAACGCATGTCAATCATTTGTCCCTGCAATTCTATTGGCTACACCTAGAGGTAAGGTGGCACACAGCCAGGAGGAGTGGGGTTTCAAGCCAGCCAGGGAGGGACATAGCGAGGTGGTCTTTCATCATAGTCCTGCCCCTTGCTTCTGATTGGCCAAAGCGCCCAGTGGCCCCACGCCTTGCTGCTGATTGGCTGAGGAGGCAGCAGCCCTGCCCCTCACTGCTAATTGGCCAAGAGGGCCAGTAGTTCTCACCCCCCACCAAGGGGGTGTCCTATATTCTGGGGATGTGTCAGCAGCCATACTAGCCAGGCTGCTCTGATTTGTGCCGCTGCTAGAGAGTGCTCAAGCCTATGACATGGTAAGAATGCAGTAGCAGAAGAGATCCCCTCTTGGCACCAGGCATCACCTCCTGCTACCCCCACATGCTCTCATGCCAGTTACTGGGGGAGATAAGTATATAAACACAGCAGTGGCAGAGCTCTTCACAGCAGTGAGCAGGGGTGACTGGTGCTCCTAAGTCTGGGGGGTACAATTTGTGGGCAGGTCTGAGGCAGGCCCGGGGGTGGGCCAAAATCCCCACAACCACTCCTATACTCCTGTGCCGTGGCTTAGTGCTCCCCCTCTCTACCCTCCCCCAACACATGGCAAAAAACTGCCCCGTCCTGAGTGGTGCTGAAGTCAGGGGCCAATCTCGGGGGGGGGCATGTGTCCCCCCACCAGTTGCCCATGGCAGTGAGTTTCCCTAGACCTGAAGGAATTCTCTGCTGAACACTTGCAGCTGTATTACACCTTCTTTACATCACAAGTGAATGGTGGAAAGGGGCTTCGACAGACTAAAAATCAGGCTAAGTGACTGCTTAAAGTCGTCAAGGCCAGAAGAGCTCAACAACATCCAGGGTGTAATTATGAACAGACTTCTAAGCGTGCACAGCCCAGCTGTGGTAAATGGGAGAGTGATGGTCAGATTTTCAAAAGGAACCCAGCCCAGTGGGTGGAAATCTGCCCCGTTTTTTACTAGCTGCTTCCCAGCATTAAAAGGAATAAGAAACTGCATCATCATCAGCCTAAGCTCTGAAACCAGAGCACCTGTCTCTTTCTGAAGGTGGGTGGGTCAGTGTCACTCAGCTATGACAGTGGCAATTACCACATTGGATTTACAGGATAATTTGTTTACACTGCAGGGCAATCAAGCGGGTTGACACTAAACCTGACTAGGAGGCAGATTAAACCTTCTTTATGGGTTGGTTTTGGGAGAGTTTCCTCTCATTCCAATACAATTTCGATCTATTGGCCCTTCCTCTGTGTAGGATCTTCTCTCGCCCACCCCCCATTCAGTGGGTATCCATGAATGGTGAGAAAATGAACTGTAAAATACAGGTCAGTTCTCCAAGAGCCTGAGGTAGTGAGATGAGAGCTTTAAAAGGAGGGCGTGTAAGGTTTTCAATCAGCCATGTCCCCTTAGAGGGCCAAACCTGAAATACCTGAAGCTTGTGATTCACAGGTGAATATACAAGTAGATGCCTCTAGAGCTTCCTATCCATCAAGACCTAGCATAGCCGGCTTCCCTACTTTACCACCACTGTGTGTACAAGCCACTTGCTGAGCGGTTTGAACCAGTTCAAAGCATCTGGTGGTAACAATATTTAGTGCTATAAACAATGCAACTTCTTTAATTACAGCTCTTTCCTGGTCTTCCCACAGTTTTTCTACCACATTAACAATTTCTCTGGGAACTCCCAGTTCTGGGCCTAAACACCACCAGTATACATACTGTAATCCCTTTTATATCTGTGCTGTACATATTACTGGGATGCACTTTGAGTATATTGTGGTTGAAACTATATAGAGAAAATGTTACAAAGATGGTCCAAAGAGTCCCACATGGCCTGGTTCTCTACAACCTCAGTGATGGGGACGTGGACTGCCAGGTAGCCTGCACAAAGTGGACCTGATTTTCTCCCTAGCGCAGCTGTCATTTTGTCAGCTTAACACTGATGTAGGTGACAGCACAAAGGGGAATCCAATCCAACCTGCTTTATTAACAGTTAAGCTTCTAGCCACCTCTGGAAGGTAGGCAAGTCTGCACCATACCTGTTTTATGGTGGGATACATTGAGAGAACAGGGAGCTTGCAGCTTGTCCAAGGGTACTTACAGAGGCCAAGGCTAAAGCCCATAGTAGTCCTAACTACCAGTCCCCTATTCTAAACGTCAGGCTGTCCTCTCTCCCACCCTAGTTATGCCAGTAAGGAGCACTAGACTGGGTATAACAAGTTGTTAAAGACCTGTTAGCAAACAAAGATTGCCCAATTCATCCCTCCAGCAATATCTCCACTCAACGTTTTTCCCTTTACTTTAATAGACTGACTTGGAAGGGGGAATTCTGGGAATGTCAGGAAACGTTCCCATGTCTGATTTATTTCAGGGGCAGCATTTTTCCCAGTCACCTCAAAGCACTCACTGAACCCTAAGGGCGGGGGGGGGGGAATTGTTCTTGTGATTTCAAGAATTAGGAAGTCACACAGACAGAAACTTGTTTGTAAATTTACTATCCAAAAAAATCCCCAGCTGCCCAGTAGGTGGGGCTCGAAGCGCAGTCAAGGGTTTGAGGCACAAGAGAGTATTTCAGTATGTTTCTGCTCTCCTCTAGTCCTCCTTGCAACAACCAATCTGACCTTTCAGGGGTTATGTGGCATAATTTGTTACTTTGGCAATATTTGGTTTAGAAGCAAAAAAAAAAAGAGCCTTTGTCATAAGTTCTCAGATATGGGCTGCACCGCAGGGCTTCAGGTCAGTGTGCTTAAGGCAATGAGTAATAAGTGACAGATTGAACTGGTTCCATCAAGCTCTCCTGTGGTCCATCCCCCAACCCTCCCACCAGTCTAGGTCTGAAAAGAGTCAGAGGGATAAATCCTGAGACCGGTCCACAACTTGAGTGGCCTGGTTAAGTACTGAGTTGTTGCTGTGGGACCTGGAAAAAGAGTTCTCCATCGCCAGCCAGCCCACAGAACTTCTGCTGCAGGGTCTCCCCTAGGCAGGGTGCCCTCCAGCCCTGGGGTAAATGCACCCAGCTTGATCTCAGGATGGTTTCATCTCTGGTACATCTCTTTTGGCTCTGGAAGACAGTTTGGAGGAGGCATGATTGACCCCAAAGGTGTGAGACTCAAACCTGGAACATCTGAAGTTATGGTGAAAGCTTCACTATCAAACAACTCTTCTGAAGTGAGGTCTTCTCCACTGTTAGTAATTTGATGCAGTAAACTCCAATCTGATGTTTTTGCTTTGATAATTTCCAGGACTTAACCAATGGAAAATATCTGTCTGCCTTGTGATTTCATACACAAGACCAAACCTCCATCTATCCTCTCCACATCCCTCCATAGAAATACAACCATGATGAGATGTCTGTACCTTGGAACTTTTCTCTGCACACCATATTTTCAGTATGTTCATAGCTGGAGAGAAACAAAACTGCTGAACATATCCACTAAAATATTCTAAACCAGTGGTGCTCAACCTACAGCCTATGGGCTGGATCCAGCCCATGGAGCCATGTCATCCAGCCTGTGGAGATCCTCACAAGTCTGGAAAACTGGTGGCAGAGGAGCAGTGGCAGGATCCTACCTGCAGCAATGGGCAGTGATAGAGTTACTGGCATGACTCCTTGCTGCCAAATGTCCAGCCCCCAGGGAAGCTCCATGGGCTGGATAACACTACCCTACATGAATTTGCTTCACAGCCAAATCCAGCATGCAGGGTTGGGCTAGTGCACTGCATTGCAGTGCCATAGCAAGTGGGGGAGTGGGGGCAAGCGGGGTTCCGTCCCGGGTACCGAAGCGAAAGGGTGCCAATGGGTGCTGCCCAGCTAAGACAGGGCACAGGACAGAGCCGCAAACAGCTCATTTGGTGGGGCCTGGGGGAAGATGGCTTCCACCGCTGCATGTAGTCCCAGGCAAGCATGGTGGGATATGTGGCCCCTGGATCTGTGCATGGGGTGAGAGCAGGCTACCACAGCAGGCTTTGCCCCAGGCACCAAACTTCCTTGTCATGGCACTGCTGGATTGAACCTATAGGTTGAGCCCATGTGCCACGTACCCACCCTGTGCCATACCTCTACCCCCTACCACAAGATAGACTGAAAACCACTGTTGTAAACTCGAACACTTTGGTAGGGATGGCTGGCTGTTAGTGAACCAGTGGAATCTCTCTCCTCCAGGTAATCAGCTAAATTCTAGCTCAGTTTATTAATTAGTACAGTGCATCACTATGTAACGTTACAATAGATCCTCAACCAAATTGTGCACCCTTTTCCTAGGTGCTGTACAAACAAACTATTGATCCATATCCAAATGTCACTCCAAAATTTTGGGGGAGTTGTTTGCTGAATATCAAAAATACTACAGATCTAGGAGTTATCGGTGTTTTGAAGAAAACTTTCACGTTTTCACAGAAAACTTTTAGGTTTTTTTTATTTGTTGTCAACATTACCAGTATGAGGTATCTTGACAACATTGCCAAAACCATTTTATGGTGGTCTCTGGAAGGCAGCTTTTAGATTGTCTTTTCTTTGAGACTGATTCTGGCAGGGTCAAGTAACTTTCAGAGAGTTATGGGGAGTTTGTGGAAGACCTGGGAATCAAGCTGACAAGTCCTGACAAAATTCCTGGTATTCTGTTGTGGGACTAGACCACTGATTCCCAAAATGTTGTCATGAAGCCACTAGTAGTTCATAAGACCATGGTAAGTAGTCCACAGATCACAGTGATCACGATGTAGAATTATAGTGTTTTCACTTAAAAGCTTGATGAAAAGGATATATGGTTATCTGAGAGAGGTTATGAGGGCTGACTGAGCTCCATTGGTCAAAAAAAGTTTCCAAATTTCTGCATCAGTGATTCTCAGTCAAGGTACCAGAGCACCTTGGGGTGCCAAGAGATCCTTTGAAAGGTTCGGCTTGAAGTGTGAGGAAATAAGCAGATAGAAACAGGCTTCTGTCAAGCCACCCTGCAAGGAGGTAAGCACAGAAATAAATAAATTAGTTTTTGAAATGAGGTGCTGCTTCATTCACAGAAGTTATGGAGGGGTTCCTCAAGTCCAAAGAGGGATGCCTTGAGGTTAAAAAGGTTGAGAACCAGTGTTCTGCATAGTCTTGTGTTAGATGGATGCTGCCGCAGCTTGCATTTCTGTACCTTTCTGGTGTGTCACAACAGTCCTGACCTCTTCAACACTCTTACGTGAGTGGAAACACTACCAAACAGTATTTGAAGTTAGATTTGCAGAAAACATTTGTCTGAAACTAGATGCTGTGTGAAACTCCTGAACTTCATTTTCATTGCTTAGGGCAGGACTTATATATATTTTTTTCAATCCTGCAGAAAGTCTAAGTTGTTCAGCTTTTAAATGTATGTGGTTTGGCTCTACAGAGCCAGCATGTGACTCAGAAGCTGACAGCTTCCCACTTGGTACCACACCCAAGATGCTCAGAAGCTGCGATTCTGTCCTAGCCCTGAGACCAGGCCCAGGGCACAAAACCGCATCTCCCTTGTGCTGGTATTGGGGAGCTAGTCCACAGGCAGCAAGTCCCAGGGACACTGCCCCTGCAAAGGGAACAGCAGCATTTGCACACAGTGGGAAGGACTCTGCAAAGCACAGCAGTGCATTCATCTCCCACTGTAGCTTTTAAAAGGCCACATCGAGCTCTTGTTCAATGCACGTGTGTATGTGTGTGTGTATCTCCACACACTGACCACCTCAGCACTAGTCACACTACTGCTCCTTCGGGGCAGAGTTGCAATTGTGAATGTGACCGAAACATTGAATGCAAATAGGCTGGATCCTTGCCAGATGCTGAGCACTTCCTGAAAACTCAGCCCCTCCTGTTTGTTGAGTTGTTTCACTATATTTGCCTCTGCTGACATATAATACTGCTCTAAAGGCATGACTGTTAAAGTGATATTGGGGCCCCACTGCTCAGTTTCTGTTAAGGGATTTCTTAGCTTTACACCCTCTGCTCCTCTTTGATACCTTTGGTCTTTTCTATAAAAGCCTGGACAGCGTCTGCTTGCTAGATATGCTACTGTGGGGAGATTCAAAGATGCAGGGGCCTGACTTGGCAAAGAAATGACCCTGGTGCCTAAATGGAAAGGCCATCCTTCACCCTGCACTCTGTTTAAAGTGTTCTCAGTGTTAACAAGTCAGAGCACCCCAGCACCATCTATCTCCTGATAGTGTATCAGGACAACGTCACCTCTGACCCTTCCCTGCCCAGTGCAAGCCAGAGGAGGGCAGCTTGTCAGAGCCCTGCAGAGGAGAGCATCACACAGCTGCTGCTCTCTGTTTGACCTACTTACCATTAAGCCCTGCAACATGATTTATTCAGTCTAATTAACTTCTCCTTCCCCCCATGGCTGATTTCCTTGAAGACCCAAGACACAAAAGGCTTTCCTGATTTACTGAACTTGCTGCAAGTGGTGTTTTAAGTGGCCATCATCTCTTCCAACTTCACAGCTTTTTGCAGAGAGAAGCTAAATTTGGGGGCAGTGTACCTACTGATGCTCCACCTGTGATGAATGGGTATTAATAAGGCAGAGCAAACCCCCCCATTAAGACTGGTGATACTGAAGCCCAGCGTGTGTGGAGCTCAGAAAGCAGAAAAATTGGGCTCTTACCCCTCAATGCACTTAGGAATTTGTTTTACTTTCAGTGGTGTTGATTATGAAAACAGGGGATTTTCCATCTGATTTGCCTTCCCACTTTTACTGGATAGTCTCTATTAGTCCATCCTCACCAGGGATGTTTTCAGGCCTGCTCTGTTGTGCATCATCTGAAGAATTTATGATTCAGCAAATTCATGCCTACATTCTACCGATGAGAAAACTGAGTCAAAGAGAATATAGGGCCAACATTTTCATCAGCAGTCAGTGTTTTGATGTATCTGGCCTGAGAGAGACTGGGTCTGATTTTCCAGCAACACTGAGTCCCCTTAACTCTTGCTGTAGTCACTGCAGCTAGGGACAGATATTCCAAAAGCCTAAGCCTGAATTGATTCAATCTTTGCAGGTTAGTCTAACCTGGCTAAACTGAACTGGTTTGAAACTGGAGAGACACTCTCTCTTGACTGAGGAAATTCAGACACATGCCTGCAGTAGCTCAGGCTAGAAGCTGGGGGTGCTAGAGCAGCCCTCCCTTCCCTTCTGCAGGGAGCTGAGCTGAGGGGGGCAGGGTAAGGCCCCTCTCATTAGGGAGGTCTGCCTGCACCATCCCAGGCTTTTTCCCACTGGCTGCTCAAGGGGTGGGAGTGTTGCCAGCTCCCAGGCCCTGGGCTAGCACTCTGAGGCAAGGGGGGAAGCGGGGAGAAGGGGTGCAGTGTATGCATCTGTTGATGCTATGGAGCTTTTCAATCTCCCTCCCTGCTTCCTCATACTGTCTGCAGCAAACTGACAGGCGAGCAAGTCAGCAGAGGCTGATAACAGTCTTTATCACCCAATTAGCAAAACAATAGCATCTCTTCACATTATTTCAGACTTCTTAAACCACTTACCAGCTGACCTGTTGATTAGCTCCAAAAGCTCTAAGTGGTCAGCCTATCCCAGTGAGATTGGAGAGAGGCACACACACAGACACCTCTCAGCATTAGCTAGCATACCACATGCTGGCTCCAGTCTGTGCTGTGGCAGAGAGGAGGAAGGGATCTCTGCTTAAGCAGTGAGTGGTGAGGCGGGGGGAGAAGGGGGCACAGGAAAGCCAGCAGACCCTGCTGTGCCTGCAAGTCTGTGCTGAGCTCCAACCAGGGAGCAGAAGGGAGGGGCCAGCTCTGCTGTGGAGCAGAGAGCCCCACCAGCCTAGAGAGCATGTCGGGGTGCTGGGGGAGTCTGATTTAACTTAAAACAGCAATAGGGCCTGGGACAGAGATTGCATAAACCAGTTTGAGCCAAATCAGTTAAGTCTGATACTACATTCAACCAGGTTTATCTCAAACCAGTTTCAGCCATTTTCAAACTGGTTTATGTGTACTGAACATCTGTTCTGTTACAGGTTTAAACTAGTTTCTAATCACTTAAACCAGTTTATGTGTAATGTCTGTCCCTAGTCTGGGAGTTGCAGATGGTCAGTGGCTCTGGAGTTGGCCCCAAGTTGTTTCATATTAGGCACTAATATTTAGTGATGTGCTTCTGTAGCCCTGGCATAAGGTAGCAGGTGGGTCATGTGGGTTCTAATGATTATTTAGACACTAGGCAGTCTTGAGAACTCATTTAACCTCCTTTTTCAGGTTTCTCAAACTCTTCTTGGCTGGCCAAGGCTGATTTAGGAAGTCAAGTTGCCCAACGGCGGTGGATGGTGCACTGAACTGCAACTGGGATCGGACTCCATCACTCACATGCTGTGTGACCTTTTGTTTCCTCATCCACCGCCTTGTGCATTTAGATTATATAGTCTCTGGGACAGGAACTGTCTTGCACTGTTTATATAGCTCTCAACACAATGGAAGCCTCTCAGGGAAGAGCTGAAGTTCCTGCCCTGCCTATACTGTCATTGCTGTGTGTATTGGTAGAAGACAGTATCCAGAGTGCTCAGTCCAACAGCATCCACCAGTGTTACAATCCATGACCATAGAATTTGATGAAGTAGTCCATTGCCTACAAAAGCTTATACCTCTCTGAACCAGTTAGTGCCCGACTACACTGCCTTCTCCCTGAATTCTGACTAAAATGGCTAACCACCTCTCTTGATCCATGACTAGATTCAAAGAGCACAGAATCCTTCACCTGCATCAAGCAGGTTATAGCTGTACCACAGCAAAAACCAAGGCATTACTATTGTGTCTGTTTTCTGGACAGCGATGTTCTTGCATCCACTGCACCAGGGTATTGCACTAGTGCTTGCTATAGAGGAAGCATAACAAAGAATGGCTGTCAGTCATTAGCAGGGATCCTGGTTTTCTCTGTTTAAAAACCAAAAATCTCTACTTTAAAAAAAACACACACATTTTCCAATTAAAAACCCCCAAATCCACATTTTTCCGTGATTAAAATGAAACACCTCTCTCTATATATAGATAACAGCTGAACACAATGTATTATTTATAAATTTACAATTTTTAAACAATTTGGAAGTCTACCAGTGCCTCAATTCCTATCAAATAAATACTAAATATTTATAAATGTTGGTGTTTGATTGTTTTTTTATCATGGAAAATCAGGGTTCCTCCTGCCCCATTCACTCACCAGGATGCGGGTCCAGCTGCGGGTCTCCCACCTCCTCCCCCGCTTTGTAATGCAGCTCTGATATACTGGTGGCCTGTCCATGCCATTGCCCCTCATTCCTGACTTACAGCCCCCTCACTCCCCACCCACAGCCCCCTGCCATGCTGGTGCCCCTCACTCCCTACCCACAACCCTTCACCCCCCTCAGCCCTGCCAGAGTAGGTTCCCAGCAGCCAAGGCAATGGGGCCAGGGACCCAGGTCTGCAACCCCCTGCCCCTCCACAGCAGTGCCAAGTCCCAGTTGCCATCCGCGGTAGGCAGCAGCTGTTGCAGTGGAGTGGAGCATGGAGCCTGGCTCCCCCTCCCCTATGGGCAGCACAGCTGGAATTGAACCCATCGAGGAGGGCAGGGGCAGGATCCTCACTGCAGGCTCGGGCTCCCTGCCTTGTTGCTCTCCTCCTGAGGCTTCCCTGGCCCAGTGAGTGGGACCCAGCATGGCAGGGCAGAGTAAGGCCAGGTGGAGGAGCTCATTGCCACCACTGGGAGCTCTGCACTGCCATGGCAAAGTGCCCCCTGCCCACCCAGCAGCAGCGAGGGGCACAACTCCATGCTGCCACCTCGGAGCTGCCAGGTGGGTGGGGGGCGCCTTGCCATGACAGCGCAGGGCTCATGGGAGCAGCATCAAGCTTCCCCACCCAGCTCTGCTCTGCCCTGCCACACTGGGTCCCACCCACTGGCCCACAGAGGCCCTTGGGGGAGGGCAGCAGGGCAGGGAGCCCAAAGCCTGCAGTGGGCAGCCTG